ATTCCAACAATAATTCCCTAATTCAATTCAATTCAATTTTATTTATATAGCGCCACATCACAACAACAGTTGTCTCACAGCTTTCCAAACAGAGCAGGTCAGACCTACTCTGAAGTTAATTACAAGAAACCCAACAATTCCCACCATGAGCAAGCACTAGGCGACACAGGCAAGGAAAAACTTCCTTTTAACAAACCTCGAGCAGAACCATGGCTAATCCCCCCTCGTGCTAGCTTTATATCATATCGGGGTTAAAATATAATCAGAAACATTGAGGAAATTGACCCGTTGAGCTAATTTGTTCTTAGCAGTTATCTAATCTAAATATCAAAAGACAGCGGTTACACTGTTAAGTGTGAGGAGCCAGACAAAACGACCTTAAGAAGTGCCCCCTCCCCCATCCTGAACCTTATCCAGGTCACAGAGGAAGGTCCAAACAGAAGCTTTTTTTGCCTGAGCGTGTTTGTCCACAAAACCTGTCTCACTGACCAGAAGATGCTTAAGTCCCAAGACAAAGCAATAACAAAATGGCTGTCCACCCGGACACACAGCTTTCCGCACACGTCTGGTTTCCCGCTTTGGGTTTCAAACTCAGGCATTCCCAGAAAAGTCCAGCTTCCTTTTCTTTGCCCCCTCTTCACACTCTGGGTGGTTCTTATCTGGCCGGGGTGATGGGTCAGTGAGAAGGACTTGATGTTTGAGCCATCATCTCAAAACAAAGGACCTGTGCACACAGGTTAAGCCTATTGCTCCGGGGGTCGTCGGCTTTACAGGACTGTCTCAGAAAATTAGAATATTGTGATAAAGTTCTTTATTTTCTGTAATGCAATTAAAAAACATGAAATGTCATACATTCTGGATTCATTACAAATCAACTGAAATATCGCAAGCCTTTTATTGTTTTAATATCGCTGATTATGGCTTACAGCTTAAGAAACCCAAATATTCTATCTCAAAATATTGGATTTTTTTGTTTTCTTCAGCTGTACACCATAATCAGCGATATTAAAACAATAAAAGGCTTGCGATATTTCAGTTGATTTGTAATGAATCCAGAATGTATGATATTTCATGATTTTTAATTGTATTACAGAAAATAAAGAACTTTATCACAATATTCTAATTTTCTGAGACAGTCCTGTATTTCCACTGCTTCCACATAAACGAAAAAAAATCAAATTTGTATTACAACTAGCTACCTCTGAACTGTATTTCTCACCCTGTGAATACCCAGTCTGTCATGTGTATCTTTAGGCCCTAGTATGTGAAAATGAGTCTTTAAGTTAAGTTATTTTGAGTCATTTAGGGCATTTCCTAGTAAATTGACTGTCACTTAGTGTCAGAGCTGTTGCTAATAGAAGTCTGACCTATCTCTGGGACCGTTCCTTTGTTGTTCCATGTCAGGAATGACGGTAAATTGACTTTGAGTAGTCCACCACCTCCTTCCAGCAGCAGTTTCAGCACCAGGCTAGCTGAGTGGGGCCAACAGCAGGCTGAGATTCATTTTAAAAAGTTTTTCATTCCAGGTTGATGGAACCAAGTATCCTTTCAGTATGTATAAGATCACTTGACGAAAACTGGAACCAAAACCACTCCTATTCCTCTGTTCCTTAACCCGTAAAGATGGAGAAAGGGCTGGAATTCACGTTTTTGTCACCTGAGATAGAGACCAACACACTTCCTGCAGATTACTAACGATGGGTTATTATTGGTGGATGAAACAGAGACTGAGGAGCAAAGAAGAGAAGCAGCCAAGATCCATATTTTCCCCCTAGCAGCTGTGGAGCTATCAGAGACAGTTGGAGCGTTTTCTGCTGTGTCATGGTGGAAAGTCTGAGGTAGCCGGGGGATAAAATGGAAGGCGGTGTTGTTTTTTTTATGAGGAACCACCTTCCCTTCCCCTTCTGCTGCACTCCAACTCTTTAGGATGAAAATTTGGGAGCCATCTTAACAGCAGTCAGAGCTGTCTCCTCAAATATCGCTAATCTAAACTGAACAATAATGGTAGCCTAGCATGTTTGAGCTATCTGATAATCCCACAAAGCGTCCACTGAGAATAACAGCATCACTACTGAACTGGTCTGTAGTGAAGCAACCTTTAGCTAATATGAATTACAATACAGACACAAGGATCGACTCTATTCGCTGGCAGAACTGGAATCATGAAGTAAAGTGGACAATTCCAGGCATCACAAAAGGACATTCTGTGTCACATCATTCACTTTTGTTTCTCTCATGCAGATCGGCCTGAACACACAGAGAATCCAGCATATGAACAGGAACAAAGACCGGACTGTTTCCTCCAGTAGAAAGCGTGAAACTGGGAGCCAAACACAAATTAGCCTAAGCGGTCCCTTTAATTCCATTTTGAGATTTCCCAGCTCAGAATGAGAAACGTGTTTGCTCTGGAATAAACATGATTTAAACCCCTTAAACCTAGTTAAACCACCACCAAAAATCTAATTCTACACCACGTCTCACAATTAACTCATTGGCTGCCAAAGTCTATAGACGTCTTTTATGTTTTTTTTAATGTTTTTAACGAGAGTGTCTGGGGGACGATCTGCTAAAGCTTGTCCGTAAATATGGGCTTCTAGACAGAGTATGTAGTAACAAATTGACCCTCTAGGGGGCAGTGCCACTTTTGATGGGAGATGAGCATAGACTGTAGGCAAATAAGAAAAAGCTAACGGTTCTATGAGAGAACATGTCGCCGGTGAGACGCAAGTCCAGGAAGAACGGAATAAGGTAGAAACACATTTTTTTTTCCTGATGAAAGAAGAGAGTCTACTCTTTCTTTTGGTGTGTTCGGTGTTTACATAGTCATAGCACAAACTATTCTGTGGCTCTTGAAAAATCAGTCAAAATGCTCAAAAAATTCTGGCAGTATGGGACTCTGTTCTGAAAATGGCTGCCAGTCAATGAGTTAATGCACGGATTAAAATCCATCTCAGCTTTAAATAACACCCTCAATAAGTAACATTTAAGGCCTAAGGGTGGATGATCTGGTCTAGACTCCTCTCAGACTCTTAATTCTGAACATACTTGCACAGATTGGCTCCATCAGCCAACAGGAAGCACTATAAGGATGCAATAGGCTCTCAGAGGTTGGAGCAGAACCGTTTTTGGGCGCATTGCGTAATACTGGAGCGGTGCCAAACCCCTGAGGTCCAGCAGGCACCTCCCATTGGGGGGCTCTCTGAAATGGGGGTGGCTCCAGCTCTTTTGGGCCTCGTTCAAAGCGTTTCCGACGCAGGGACGGACGCTCAAACCGAGAAAAACCGAGAAAACCCGAGTTTCATCCGAAGCTTTGGAGCGGAAACCCGCTTTTTAAAGCGTTTTAGGGTGGATAGTCCCGTTATGTGCACGTTTCAGGGGGGGGGGGGCAGAGAGGGTAAGATGGCAGTGTCTCCAGATGTAGCAGAGGTCTGCACGCACGCACGCACGCACGCGCCGCGCTACCTGAGGACGCGCCGCAGACTTTTTTTTTGCTGCATTGACTCACAACTCCGCCATGTGACCGGACCCCGGGGGGGGGGGGGGGGGCGGCCCCGGGGGGGGGGGCGGTCTTGCCCCCCCCCCCCCCCCCCCCCCCCCCCCCCCCCCCCGATCTCTGCACATTCCAGCGATCGCACGTGGACGCGGCTCTGGGCCGGCGTGCACGCGCTCGGCCGGCTACGGGAAAACGGAAAACGGCCTCACCTGGCGCAATGGGATCCGCGTCCTTTGCGCTCATCGCGTCCCGCAGTCTGACCTCCTCGCGAGCCTGCTCGCCCACGCAGCCACACCACGCAATCTTCCTGACCAGTCCGAGGAGGAAGAGGAAGAGGAGGAGGAGGAGGAGAAGAAGGGGGGGGGGGGGG